AATAACTTTTATCGGATTGTAAATCTGATGACAAATATTCTTTAGTAGACCCCGATCGAGTCTGGGTCTTAAAGACATTCAATAAATTGGATCCGACAAGCTCTATTCTTCACGTAGAAGAATAATCATCATTACAGAAAAAAAAAATATCGTCTCTATAAACTCATCGATATTTTTTGAAGACAAATATTAAGTCTTCCTTCAAAAAAAAGTCAATTTTCATCAGAAAAATCGAAATTGAGATGATAGCTCGAGATCTGATCTTTCATAAACAGCATAGTTTTTTATTTGGTAACTTGTTTTGTAAAAATTTTTAATGATTTTCATCCCTTTCTGCTTGAAAAATAAACTTTTTTTTTTAAAGATTTTATAATTTTCTGATCATGCTTCTCAAAGGAACTTCATTGTAGTCAATTTCTTTTTTTTCGCTTGAAAGAACATGTAAAACTGCAGAGTCAAGTACAAGCCAGTTTTTGAATTAAAATTTATTATTATTATTATTATTATTATTATTATATAACAAAAGTAGTTCGATAAATAGATGACTACTTTTCAAAATACTGAACTATTCATTCCTTTTCTTCGCATAAAAAAGAAAAGGGGCACTGTAGTCTGACATGCTCTGTGACATAAAAAAAGCTATTAGCGTAATCCCTATAGATTAAAATATAAAACACGACACAGTTGCTCTTGCTAATCACAGAAAGATTGTTTTATTCGATCTATCGTGAGACAAATTTCTTCATGATCCTTTTATTTAACGTTCCAGACATGCAATTCACACAGCAATTAAATCTATAGAACGAGAGTCCACGGAGAAATTCGAGTTGCTAGAAATTTTAACATAGCTTCTCCACTACAGCTCCAATATGTTCTGAAAACATCATGCAATTTGAATACACTTGGCTCAAGATCAATTTTTGAAGGAAGATGAACTTAACTATTTTATATTTTAACATTTTTTTTGCTAGATAAAAAATAAACAAAACTTCTTTTTGTTCTCATACCGTTTCACAATTAAGACATTTTGTTGTAGATACAAGAGTTCCTTGAAATAGTTCATGTATCCAAGTATCTTCTATCGACAAATTAGTATTAATTATATCACCATTAGTATTTATATTATTTGATATTCGAATATATTGTCCATCACCATTAGATTGTATATAATTATTACTAACAGCAACACTATTTGTTTTATTTCGTTGTTTATCATGTTTATCTTTTTCTTCTTTTTTTTCAGCTAGAAATAAATAAAGGAAATTTGAAAAAGAAAAAAAATAATTCTGATTTACAAACCAATTAGAATATCGGCACATGTATTTAATAAATGATTAAGAAATTCATGTGCATCTTGTTGCATATCATTATCAAATGTGCCTAAAAATAAAAAACAACTTAATCTTTAGAGAAAAAAAAAGAAACTTAATAAAACTTACTATTTTCTTTTCGTAATTTATTAATAAATTTTTTTGGTTGTAATGCACCTGTTCGTCTTTTACCAGATGAAATCATATGAAATAAATCTGCTAAACATGTTAATAAATTTTCTTTTTTACTCTTTTGTGTTGAACGATAATTTAAAACACGTTCTCGAAATGGTTTACAAAAATAAAGAGCTTGAAGCACCGAATTACAATAGCACGTATTACCAAACTAAAATGAATTAATTAAATCAATATAAAAAAAAAAAAAAACAAAAAGAAAATTATTTTTCAATTCATACATTCACAAGACCAAGATAATGTTCATTGGAATTTTGTTCAACTATTGCATGGGCACTGGTATCAGATGAAACTCCATGACCCTAAGAAGAATTTTTATTTTTAATAATACAAAAAAAAAATACAAAAGAAATTTACCATTTTAAAGCAAAACATTTGGTTCATTCAAGTAAGATTTTGTTCGCAGCATATGATATCTTTAAAAAACAAAAAGTAAATTATCATTTTATTCTTAAATAAAGAAATTCATTAATATTTACATTCAGAGATGAAATTTTTCAAATTGTTGTCTGTAACAAAAAAAATTAATTTATAATGATAAAATTCTTAGTTGAGATTCCAATCTGAGACTATTAAATATAATAAATTGTATATAATCTAGAATTAATGTTAATTTAGATATAATATAGATATTATCAATAAAGTATTTCTCTGCTGAAAGTATTTCAAAAGAATCATTAGTAGTTTTCATATTATTATGTACTTCATACGGATATAGATTTTTCTGAAGAAACCTATGCCATCATTGAGAAGCATAGATGTATCTTACAATAACGCTGTTTGTATTTTGAGTGCGAGTTTATTTTTGAAACAAAGAATGAAAATTTTCGGAAGTCAAAATTAATGTTTGCAGTTTTAATATCATTGAAATACATTATTCAAAATAATACTTCTCAATCCGATTTGACAAGGTCTTAGCTGTTTCGTTAATCTTTTTTTCGAATTGTTTCATATAAAAATGGCTCCAACTAGGAATGAGCAATTACCGTTAATTTCAAAGGTGACTGCCATTTGCGTTTCACGCAATGTAAATAGAATCAAATGCGCTATAGCTTAATGAAAGGAGAACAAATTTTGACTAAGAATGAATAGTCTACCACGAAAAATATCAATTTTTATGTGAGTTTAAAAAAGTCTTCTTCGAAAGGCGAAACGTCACTTAATTGTAAATAAATATATAATTTAAATTTAAATCAATTGCGAAATAGTATCAAATTATGTCAAACATATCACACGTTTGTGTGCACTACTGTCGGTATACTGCAGTGCTCATAAGAACTGATGGTATACCGGCAGTAGAGCCCGTCGGGTTTGGGTCCGAAAATTTTGAACTCAACGGGCTCTAAAGTATATTCGCATTAAATTAACACATTTCGTCTCAAACGAAAAATTTAAATATATGGGATATTGTTGTTGTATTTGGATCGAGGTATAGAAATTTCGAATTATTTACAATATAAATATAAGGGGTGGTGCATAATAATTACGATACAATGTTTTCCTTTTTTTTAAGAGGACTTCCCAACATATTAGAGAGTTCGTCTTAGAGTCATTCAAGAGAGAATTTTCTGCTCTAAAAAACAACTATCGTCTTTGTTTTTTAAATAACTTTTCTTCTTTTTTTTGTCAGCGTAAAATTTAAAAGATGAGCGCTTACTCAATCGTCTAACTGTAACAGCCAAAAAAACGAAAACTTTTTCTTAAACTTCAAATATGGTACAAACATCTCCACTAAATTATATTTCAAGATTGTAGAAGAAATATATGTGAGAAAAATTTTTGAAGTGAAAAAACCGAAAAAACATTTTTCCTGTAAAATTACATCCTTGAAAAAGTCATGAAAGCAAAGAATGCGAAATTCTCTATCGATGGATGCCTGCAAAAAATTGAAAATTGCAGTTAGATAATTGAGTAGATGTTCATATTTAAATTTTACGCCGACAAAAAAGAACAGTTATTTGAAAAACAAAGACAATAGTCTTATAGTGCAGGAAAGTCTCTATAGAATGAGCCTTTAAAAAAAAGCCTCTAATGTGTTGTGAAGTACCCTAAAAAGAGAAAAACATTGTCACGTTTATTATGCGTCACTGGTTAAATACTAGAGAACTATTTATATTGAATATTTTCTTGCAAAGAAAATGAACTTTTCAGATAATATTCGAAATCACCGTTAGCTTCGATGGTTTTCTCAAAATTTGATAGTATGATGGTGGAAATAGATGGGATTCGTGCTCAAACCTAATTGCCGAGTTTGAGAGGGCTCCGTATTTTTCTTCTTAAAACTTCTTACTTGTTATGCGGAGGAAAAACGTGACAAGTCCAATAAGTTTAGAACATCTCAAAAAAAATGACAATCTATTTATAGATTTTTTGTTATATCTAATACACACAACGCTTAATTAAAAAAACGGATGCTGTCAGATTCTGAAGCTTAACTACTTCTTTCAAACAAAAGAATAAATAAATGACTACAATGCACCTCTTATGGAAATTTACAAAAACCTGTAATAACTATCAAAAGGCAGTGCTTTATTACGCTTAATATATAAGTCAAATATCTCGTTCTTATTACTTTAAAAAACCTAACGAACACCCTGTTTTCTATGACAAGGATGTCTATGATCACTTTTTTCATTCATGAAATTACAATTGATTTTTCAACTGAATAATGTCTGATGCAAAAGTAATGGCACAAATGTTGGTCTTTATATTTTTTTTTTCATAGACACTGTTTTGAAAAGAAAATTTTTTTAGCAATTGATAGAAAATTTTCTTCTCTTTCAAACTGTATAATAATATATTTTTATTAGACACTTATACATGAAACGGCAAGAGAAGAAATCAAGACAACCTAGAAATAATTCCGCACTTTTCGTATATTTCACAATAACGGTACAAAATGTCGATCAGTGTATGATTTATATTTGTCAGACATTCATAAATGAAATAAGACGAGGAAAAAAAGGAAAATACTTGCGCAATATATTTGTAATCTTGATATGAATCCGTCAAAAACATTTTATTGGACAACAATCAATTCGATTTTTGTGAACTCATTAAAAAAGATCTTGTAAAACGACAATTAATTGTAATTAACTGTCATCTGCAAGATATTTTTGATGAATTTATATAAAAAATTCTAAATTTATTGCGTCAATGTTTCTCTTTTTTTTTCCTCGTTTCGTTTCACTTACCAATGTATAACAAATATACCAAAATAAAATTAACTAAACTAAAGAATATTGAACTTATTAATCAATGTTGAAATATATTTTTCAAATAATCGCAAAATCAATATTTCGAATTAATAATCTTTTAAAAAAATCCTCATATTCATATAATTTTCATAATAAATAAAATAATTACAAATAAATATGATTTAATAATCTAAAAATTTAAAATAGATTATACAATACGAATATTCATTATTGATTAATTATATTAAATAAATATCACGAAAATAAATTGATACAAAAAAAAAGAGAAACAATTGACTTAAGCATTTTCACTTTGAGATGATTCACTTATTGGATTTTCTTCTAAAAATCGAATATTTCCTATAATAACAAAAGAAAAGAAAGAAAGAAATTTAAATCATAATCAAAAAACTTTTTACCTTTATGGTGACTATTTTTTAATGTCAATAAATCAGATTTTATTTTTAATTTGGCTATCTCAATACGAAATTGTGCTCTAGAAAAATAATTCAAATAGAATAATTGAATATATATTATTATTATTTTTTTTTACCGATCTTGTGAATCATTGATACCCATTTCAAGTAGAAGATTATCATTTAACATAAATAAAGTTCGTCCTACGAATAAAAATATTCTTTCAAAATAAAAAAAATTCATTAAAATTTATCAGAATTGTTCTATTCTTATTAACAATGTCACATTTGTATGTCAATAGAACAAATACTTTTTAATATTGTATGATCTTTACTAACGAGGGTACCTCTTCAGATGTCTCATTCCGATTTTCATGTTTCTCTTTTGCCTAAAGATACTATAAAGTGTTCTAAAAAGGATTTGGTTTCCTATTGGTATCAGACTAAGCTATTGAATTTTTTTTCTAGAGGTCACACGTTTTCAGAAAAAATCATATTTTCGAATTTTGATCTGAAACATTGTGAATATAGAGAACTCAACTAGAGTAGCTTCCATTAAAAAAGTCAGAAGTTTTGAACACAGTCTCTTCGAAATATGAAGCTTTCAATAAATATATGTTGTATCATTGGCAAGGATTTATATCTTGAAAGTCTCAAGGAGAATTCGTTTAACACTTCTGAGCTAGTCTAGTTGAGTTTTTTATATGCACAAAGTTTCAGAAAAAAGAAATGCGATAGCTTAGACAAGTTTCAATAGGAACTCAAACCCTTTTTAGAACACTATGTAATATCTATAGACAAAAAGATCATTGAAATCGGAAGGAAGTACCTGAAGAGATTCTGTTATAATTTTTCCCAAGATTTGTTCTTTCAAACACTTCACTCAAAGTACAATTTATTTTGTTTTTTTGGGAATTATAATCGTAAGAAGATTACAGAAAAAAAAGTTGATGAAAGTTTTTTGTTTATATTCATTATTCTACTTATTTGCATCTTCTGAATAAGTCTCAACAAAAGATTGAGTTTCATGCAATTATTGTTTAGAGAAATAATAGCAAAAAAACTCGCGTCATACTTATAATTCTTATGACATATCCGATCATTAAAAAAAAGATAATGAGTTTTTCTATCTTTTGAAATGATGACTTACAGGATATGATATTTAAGTACAAAAGTTCACTGCATTTTTTTGACAATCTAAACCGGATTTTATAAAAAAAGAATCATTTTTTTTTTGTTATCAATAGTTAGCCAACGTTTTTAACTAATCAATCGTTTTCTCATCGACAGCTAATACATAATGAGTTATCGATCGTGCTGATTCCAAATATGACTATAAGAAATTCTCTTAGGTTTTTATATGCTGGTTTTTCAGATTAACAAAATTTTCGCCAAAAATGTTTTTTGGTCTATCCCGATTATAGAGTATATCAAATTGCCTAGAAAACAGTAATGTTTTTCTGTTTCAAGTCTTTTTTTTGCAAGAAAATACAGCCATTTTAATTCATAATATAGATACATAACAATATTTCACTGGGAAAATCTTCAAGATGATGTTATTTCACTTAGAACTAATTTTTGGACAACAGAACGAATTATTGTCTTATAGACAACTCGATATGTTCTATAATCTGAGTAGATTACAAACAATTTTGGCAAAATATTTATTAGCCTGGAAAATCGATTTTCTAGAAAATCAGCATAATAAGACCTAAGGGAGTTTCTTATGGTTATACTCGGAATTAGTATAGTCGATCAGTCATAATCCAGTAGCGTTTTATAAGAATGTGATTGATCAATTGAAAACACTCCCTCGTAAATTCAACAAAGTAATTTTTCTAAATGTAAAATTCAAGTAGACAAAAAAAAACGAAACGATTAGAAATTTTATTTTAATAATATATGATTTTTTGAACATAGTCACGAAGACTTTTCAAACTCAGCTAAGGTCATACTGATAAAACTTTTGAAAACCGTGTCTTATACACTGATGTTGGCTATAGAGATGTGTAGTGTTCATTTGAATATTGATCAGTAAGTCATTGGCACAGGATTCGTCAGAGTTGGAACCGGTATCAGTTGTCAAAACATTGGACCGGTTCCATCTCTGGAATCCGCTGTAGCACTGATTACACTGACATCTACGTTCGCTGCAGTATCAAGACACTAACTCTATTAAAGTATACACTTTTTTTGTAACTGTGTGTTCCAATGCTTCAGTGAACACTAAAAACACTTAGTCAGTGATTTGGTAAACTGAAACTGTACATCTCAAGTTGACTACCTTTCACCGACAAGGAGCAAATTTTTGGCAAAAATTATAAAAGTTTTCATAAAACCTTTCCATTTCTACATGACTTTAGTCTTGGTCATGGCAATGAAAGACCTGAGCAGAATGTGACTACTTTGCAGATTTCTATCCCTGAATATTAAAATAAACATGTATCTCCAGCTAGTATGATAAAAATTAGCTAGATTTTAGTACCATTTCTATAGAATTAAACTCTATCATATTGAAATTAAGATTATTATCAATTATAATTGGGTATTGATAAAATATTCTCTGATCTATTCTGAGCGTCGTTTTACTTGAGATATCTACCAATCAATATAGTTTGAAATTCTAAATCTACTTAACTCCACTCTGAAGTGTGTTTTATTAATACCCATTAAAATTCGTCTACATATTCTAAAAACATTTCAATGTATAATAATAGCGTTTTTTTGTTACCTCGAATTCCATGTGTTTTAAAAAAGCCACCATATTTATGAAATAATTCTGGTAAACTATTTTTCATCCATTGTAATATTTCTGAATTAGTCCAAAAACAAGGTGCTACACTTGCCGATTTCGATGGACGTGCCTAAATACAACTATCAAATTCAGAAACTTTCATAATCAATACATACATTCGTTGATGCTTCCATTTTTTTATTTCATAATCTGAAGAAATAAAAACAATTTTTTTCTTCTTATACACATATAAAAGCAAAATAAATTCTTTGTGTTTTATTCTATTTCATCACAGAAACATTAATAATAAAAAAGAAAAAAAAATTTAAAAACAATGACATTATTCTTTTCTGTTTGTTTCAATGCTGATGATCAATTTTTTTCTTCAATAATAATCGGACGTAAACATAATGCACAATTTTGTGTTGCATAAAATGCTTTTTGTAAACATTTTTGATGAAATAAATGTAAACATGGTGTTATACATGTAGTACCCATTGTTAATATATTATGACATATTGCACATATATCATTATAATTTCTTATTTGTTCATCTGTAGCTAATGGTAATTGTTTAACATTATTCCATGCTGTTTTACGATTATGAAGTATTTGCCAACCACGACGAAAATTTTTTATTATATTTAAATGTGCATGTATAGCAAGCATAAATGCACGTAATGCACCACGAGCTTCAAAACATAATATATAAAAACCATTACAAAGTAAAAATATACTAAGAATAAATTCACAACATGATGTTATTGCTTTTATACGAAATATATATTCATCAAATAAATCAACATTTGATATACAATTATGTGCATCAATAACATAAAGTGTATATTGAGCTAATGATGCAAAAAGACGTACAATTAATTCTAATGAAAATGCTGTTACAGCTAAAAGCCATGTTGAAAATGTTGTTATTTTCCATAAGAAAATTATATAAAGTATAAGAAAAAATAATATTGATAAACATGTATAAACATGTTGATGATGAAATGAACGAAGAATTTTTCGAGAAAAATCTAATGTTAATTTTGATCTAAATAATATTCAAATAAATAGAATATAGTTTAAATTATCAAATACAGATTTTAGAGGTTTTCTGTTTAAAATTCTATATTTTTGAAAACTAACATCAAAATTTCAATAAGATCATATGTCAGATGTTAATTAAAAATTTAATTACTAATAGTTAGTGTTTTAAACAGGATTATAATGTATTGTTGACATTTTTGTAAACAAAAATGTCTTCAATAAGATTATTTTTCTAAAGATAATAAAACAATTGAGGCTTTCAACATACAGATTTAACGGATGATGCAAAATTTCTGCATTAGTTTTTAGTATAGCATGATGACCACTCATTATTAGTGCTTGTAGAGTTGCTCACGAATTCGAATCCGATCGGGTCCAGATCCGAAAATTTTGAAACCGACAAGCTTTACTCGTCGCGGAGGCTCAGTAGTATTCTTGTTAAAGTCTCTACTATAAAACTATGTCGCTCTCATTGTTTACTGAAGGCTGGAAAGTTTAAAGAATATTTTTAGCTGGAAACATGTCTTACACTTTACACAAAATCAATTATGAGAGGAATACATTTGATTGATTTGTCTTGCACTCGGCTTTCGAAATTTTTAGATACGTTATGTGTGAGTATAACTAGCGCGATGCAGACTTTCTAGTGGTACCGAAGTATTTGAGTTATAAAACCTCACATTCGATTGAAAACAGGTTTATTAAAAACTTCCGTTTTATATAATATGCTTTTGTAGAGAGCTCACTAAACTCTGACTGAACATAAAATATTGAATTCTACTATTTTTAATTGTTGGAAAAAATCTTATTTTTCAAAATGACTTATTAATTATGAATATTTTTCGCTAGTAAATGTCGATTTCGAACTCAACTGATAACTTGAGAATTTATTTTTATCTGTTTTCAATTTCCTATGGTAGTACTACAAAACTCAATAATAGACGAAAAACAAGACCAACTTTTTCAACCAAACATATATTCTTAATACTTTTCAGCCTTCGGTAAGTATTTCCAACGAAATATTTTTACGCGACTTTGTACTAAAAAAAAACTTGCGAGTCTTTATGACTGGTGATTATCGCACTATAGTGGAAGCAGAATTAATGCAGAACTTTTGTACCCTACAAAGTATTTAAATCTAAAATCACAGTAAACTCTCTCAATTTCTTTTATATTATCAGATAATCATTACTGTATCATTCGTACTCATTTTATGATATATTTTTTGTTGTAAAATTTAAACATCTATCTACATACGACAGTCCGTCAAATGTAATTTACTTCCGAATAAATATTCAATGCATGTGATCTAACGAGTCAACTCTTTCAATTGAATAACTGATTAAAATATTTATTTATTAATTTACTTTATTTTATTATTTTCATCATCATCTTCTATATAATCATCTGTTTGATCAAATGCCATTTTTATTGTCATAGTTTGCATAGCTACTTTAAGTAATTCAGGTTCAAGAATTGTATGAAGAAAATGAAATAATGCAATAATAATTATACTGAATGCTTTTAATAAAGGAATATGTCGTCGATCAAGATCGAGTCGTGTTAAATTCGATTGAAATAATAAAAGAAAAAACATTATACCAATAATAGTACCAATTTGTTCAACATCTTCACTCCATAAAGATAAACGACGAAATAAACGATGTGAAATTGCTTTCATTGCATATGAAACAAGACAAGCAAAACTAATTAAACTAAATATTAAAAAAAATAAATTTGATTAATGTTTTTTCTCTTTTTCAAAAACAAAAAAATTTTCTTACGTAAATGTAGTTTCAGTTCCATAAAATAAAATTGTAAAATAAATTGTTTTTGTTAATGTTTCATTATAATTTGTTGTTATATTATCATCTATTGTAGTATTTTTTATTATTGTATCTGTTAAAAATGGATTTGTATGCGTTGTTCTTATACCTAATGGTAGAATAATAATTTTAGTTAACCAAAAAATTTTTAACAATGTAATAATATCTATTTGTTGTTGTATATAATTAATTAATGTTTGTATACCAAAATTTTCATAAAAATTCATTAATTCATTTAAAAAACTAATTCTTGTTAAATGAGTTATTATGTCTTGTTGAGATAAATATAATTCAAATAAATATATTAATGTCCATAGAATATAATATATATTTATTATATATATACTATATTTTAATGAAAATAAATAATGTGTTATGATAAATAACCATGGTGCAAATTGACATAATTTTTTTTGAATTTTATATGTATAAACATGAGTACGTATATTTATCATTTGAATATAAATAAATGAAAGCAAACATTGAAGTATAAACATATTTATTTGAAAATTCGTTAAACGATTTATTTGATAATAAAAATAAATAACAAGTAATGTCGCAATATAACTATAAAAAATGACAAGACGTTGATTTGAACATAATAATAAAACAATTAATAATATAAAACCTACAAATGAAAATTTTGTCTGATTTTGATAAAAAAAATGAATATATATTACCTAAAATTGGTATTGAAAAAATTAAATTAAGATATATTAATATTTGAAAGAAATAACTATGTAATACATAACTAATTGGTTTAAAGAATAATTGATTCTTTTGATCAATAATTTTCATTGAATGTTGTAAAAAATATTGAATTAACAATGAAAATTGTTCCGTAAATAAATAATCATAAACAAGTAAAAATGGTATACGTAATAAATAATATTGAATATATATAAATGTTTGTCGAGATATAAAACGTTGAAAATGTTTAAAATATGTTTTAGGTTCATTTTCAATATCACGTCCTATTGAATGTGAAAAAAATTCATCAATTACATGTATATCTTCATTATCATCATCACTATCCATTTAGAATTAATATTTTTAATAAAAATTTTTTCCAATGACAATAATCAAAATAAAAAAATAATTATCCACCCCAAACCCCTAATGATTGACTTATTAATCATTGGTTAGAATAAATTAACCAATAGACAAGAAGTACGTTCTCAATGGTTCTTTACAATATTAATAAGTTCTTTTTTTTTTATTTTTATTTTTCATACATATATAATGTCAGTAGTTATGTTAGGAGGTAAATCCCTTCAATGGATTTTACGTTCATCAAAATCCATTTGTAATACATTTTTACTTTTACCAACAACATCAAAAAATGTTGAGCAAAAACGTACAGTTTCATGGTTTTTGGGTACAGAAGAACACCAAAATTATTTATCACAAGCAAGTTATTTTTATTCAAATCCTGAATATGCACAATGGAAAGAAAAACCAATGCGAAACGGTAATATACAAACAAAAACAAAATCATTATTTTTTTTTTTCACTAGGAATTATATAAACTTTATTTATAGAATTAATGGTTGAAACACCACCGAAACGTAAATTACGTAATTTTAAAATTAATTTTGGTCCACAACATCCAGCTGCTCACGGTGTACTTCGTCTTATTGTTGAACTTGATGGAGAAGTTTGTTTTCATTTATTAAAAATGATATAAAATTTTGTTTTTTTTTCTATTTTTTAGACTGTTATACGTGCAGATCCACATATTGGACTTTTACATCGTGGAACAGAAAAACTCTGCGAATATAAAACATATATTCAAGTAAACAAAAAAAAAAGATACTCAAATTCTAATTGATAAAGAGCATTTTAAATATATATTTCAAAATTATTCTATTCATTTAGGCTTTACCTTATTTTGATCGACTTGATTATTGTTCAATGATGACAAATGAACAAGTATATTCATTAGCTATTGAACGTCTTTTAGGAATTGATATTCCTGAACGTGCAAAATTTATTCGAAGTATATCTATTAATTATCATGGTTTTTATTTATACTATTATTTTTATTATTTTAGCTTTAATGGCTGAAATGACACGAATTCTTAATCATACATTAGCTGTTGGTTGTCATGCACTTGATGTTGGTGCAATGACACCATTTTTTTGGCTTTTTGAAGAACGAGAAAAGGTAGGACTTCTTTCTTTTTTTAAGAAAATATTTTAGTTTAAGCAAAAACAAAAAAAAAAATTTTATATTTAGATAATGGAGTTTTATGAACGTGTTAGTGGTGCTCGTATGCATGCTGCCTATGTTCGTCCAGGTGGTGTTGCATTTGATTTACCACTTGGTTTTATGGAAGACGTCTATAAATGGTGTGAAGCATATACTCGTCGTATTGATGAAGTTGATGATCTTTTAACAGGAAATCGTATTTGGATTCAACGAACTCAAAATATTGGTATTGTAACAGCTGAAGAAGCACTTAATCTTAGTTTTTCGGGTGTTATGTTACGTGGTTCGGGTATTAAATGGGATCTTCGAAAAACACAACCATATGATGCTTATGATAAAGTTGAATTTGATGTACCAATTGGTGTTAATGGAGATTGTTTTGATCGGTAAAGAATTTCATATTAAATTATTTTTGGTTTTTTTGTTTTTCTTAATAAATATTCTTGTAGATATTTATGTCGAATGGAAGAAATGAGACAAAGTTTAAGAATAATGATGCAATGTATTAATAAAATGCCATCTGGAGATTATAAAGTAAGAAGAAAAACAAAAGAATTATTTAAAATACTGTAAAAAAAAAGTTTAATAACAAGTGTCATTTTTGAGCCGCTTCTTTTCTATTATGTTAAGGACTTAGATCAAATCCAGATAGTGATTTTAATAATAATCAATTTTTATCATTGTATATTTTGAGGCAAATCCTCCACTCCCCCCCCCCCCGGATGGCGAGCTTTTTTGGAAACAGAACATGGTAGTTTTTAGATCCTAGAAGACTATTTTTTTTAAACAATACAAAATGAGCGGTCACCGCACTTTCTACGACCTTTTCTTGAAAATTTTAAAGCAATACATTTCTAAGGAAAGGTCGTCGAAAATGTGACGAGCCTTCATATTGCGCGTTTTAAAACGGTATTGTTAATATAATAATTTTCTGAGACCTGAAAACTATCATGTCTTATGTTTTTAGCACATTATAAAAAAATGCGTTGTTATTAAGCTTTTTTTTTCACCATCTTATATATGAAAATTAACTCTTTTTTTCTAATATTTAGGTTGATGATCATAAAATAACACCACCAAGACGTGCAGAAATGAAAGTAAGTCTGTTTATGAATGAGAATAAATAGCTGTTAAATGATATTAATTTTTAGGAATCAATGGAAGCACTTATTCATCATTTTAAACTTTTCAGTGAAGGTTTTGTAGTTCCACCCGGTACAACATATACTGCTATTGAAGCACCAAAAGTTAGTTTTAACAATTTATAATTATTTATTTGATAATATATGTTTAATTATTTAGGGTGAAATGGGTGTCTATCTTGTATCGGATGGTACATCGAAACCTTATCGACTTCATATCAAAGCTCCTGGATTCGTTCATTTAGTAAATAGATTATTTTTCTTTTTGTTTTGTTTTTAATCTTACTTTTTTTTGTCTTACAAATAGGCTGCACTTGATCGTATTTCTCGTCGTCATATGCTGGCTGATTTGGTTGCTATTATTGGTACATTAGATATTGTCTTTGGTGAAGTTGATCGTTAGACAATCTACTCTTGGCTTGTAAATTCAAATTTTTTCTTTTGAACGATCCATTGTTTAGTTTGCTCTCTCTTTATTAATAAAAAAATACACCTCAGCATATGTGAGAATTTTGTACAACCTATATATATATATAAAAACATGACTAAACAGATAAGAAATAATACATATATAAAAAGTTGAATATCAACATTTTCACAAAAAAAAAATACATAAAATTTGTATCACTATTAAAACACAAGACACAAAATCATCAGTAGAATTTGCCATTAATAAACAAAACACAAACTATATAGACAAAAAAAAAAGAATTATCAATTGAGTAATATTGCAAAAGAAATACTTGATACTAGAAGAATAAAACTGATTGGTCTGATTGAATTAGCAATAGCTAAACGACATTTAAGTTGATCAAAACTTGACATACGCGAATTATTACTCATTAATATATTCCATTGTATATCCATAACATCGCCATTAAAAAAATCATTTTGATCAATAAATGGATATTCATAACCAGGTCGACAACGACATTTATATTTACCTAAACGAAAACCACGACCAAATATTGGTTCACACTAAATAAATAAAAACCGTAATACTATTTAACTATAATAATAATAATAATAAAACATACTATTGTACTTTGATAATCACAACGATCACTGCCTTTAAATGCATTCGGTATATAATGAGGCAGTGAACATTGATTTATATCCAAATACCTCAAATAAGTATCAATTCGTATTACACCTCTACAATACAAACCAATTATTTCAAGAGAAAACAAAAACAAGCATTAATCTTAATTTTTACTTAAATTCAAGATTAATTCCAAGTACATCAAGACCAAAAAAAGGTACAGCATAAGTAACAATCCATTGACGTGGTAATGCATAATTTCTACTACATTGAAATGTTGGTGGAAACCATTGACCATGTCTAAAAGAAAGTTATTAGTGCAATGTAAAACATGATGTAGCTGCTCTTGCTAATCATATGGTGATGAGTTTATTCTATCTATTTTTAAACACATTTCTTCACCATACTTTTTGTATATCAATAGCATCTGTCACGATCTGTGAGATTCCTATGGCTACGCCTAATACAATCTGTGACGCTCATATCGCAATGTCTGTCACGGTCTGTGGCGTTCCTATGACTACGTCTGTCACAGTTCGTGACGCTCCTATGGCTACGTCTCTTACAGTCTGTGATATCCTTATGGCTGCACCTGTTTCGGTTTATACCACTTCTGTGGCTACGCCTGTTATAGTCTGTGACTTTCCTGTGGCTACATCTGCTACGATTTGTGATATTTCTATGGCTAGGTCTCTTACAATCTGTGACGTTCTTATAGCTATGTCTATCACGGTCTGTGACACTCCTATGGTTACGGTCTGTTGGAAGTTCAAATTTTCACCCCCTATACTTCAACACTTCTTTTAGATTGGGTTTGAAGAAATTCTCAATTAAATACAAAGATTTATTATATTCTTACTTTAATTCTGGTGCATGAAAATAAAGTGGAAAACCAGATTCATGATGAACTAATGCATTACCAGCATAATCTGCTCGAATAAATAATTTAAGCCAATACTCAGTTAATTCTGAACGATCAGCATTTGTTGCCCATCGAGTTTTCATTGTCTAAGAAAACAAAAAACAAAAAAATTATTATTGTAATTGATAATCTACTTTGGCTTACTCGAAACCAAATTTCGTTTTCATAACCATCAGGTAATCCTGCCCAATCAATAACAGTATAGTTTTGACTAATATCATTTTCCATTCGAAAAGCATACGGTCCAAAATAAGGTAAACGATAATTTCGAAATTTTCCACGATCAAAAAAAATTCCAATACCAACAACTTTATAATCACTACCAGCTGCAGCTAAGACTTCACCAATTAATTGTTCGTCAGTTAAATCAAGTTCAGCTTTACGTAATGGAAAATCTTCAGCTGGATTAACAATTTGATAAAAACTTGATAGAAAATGTGATAATGTTAATGCTAAACGTGCTTGAGATTCAAATTGAATATCAACATCATATAAAACATCACCTGGCATTGATAATTCCTCTTCAGTCATGAATTCACATATATGTGGATTATAATTAAGATAATCATAATGTTTCATTATCGATGCAACACGTGTTGAATATTCATAGGCAAAACGTTTTGCACGATGTTTTTTTATATGATCTTCATGTTTATTATTAACAAAACCAATGAAAATTTTACTAGAAAATGACGCAATTCGATGAATAGATGATTTAAATAAAGATGATGATGATGTTAATAATGTAGCTATTATATTTACTTTTGATACTAAATAAAACAGAAAAAATAAATAAATAAATTATTGAACATTACAATAGAAATTGAAACCTACCAGAATCAATCAATAGTGGTAGAATAAAATTTTTACTTAGATTATTATAAATCGATCTATTTGATAGATCATCATTCGAACGACGTTTACGACCAGCAAATAATTCAATATTTGATTGATAGAAATATTTTGGATATTGTTGATATACTAAAAACAAAATTAATTCACCGAAAATTTTCACAAATCAATAATCGAAATAGTCTGAAGCTAGATCATAGACTAAACATATACAAGATCAAAACTACCTGATTCCTATCTAAGTTACACCCACACTCCACTAATAGTTATTGGTCTTAGGATTATTTTTCTTGATCTATAGAATAGCATAGAGGGGTTAGTTCTGGGTTCTCATAGTAATTTGATACATAATGAAAGAATAGGTATATCCAAACATTTCCGGTTGCTCGAAAACGCAATGAAACGAATTCCTTAGGAACGAAACATTGACATTCCTAGTGTAGAATTAGTTTTTCATGAAAACTATTAAAATTTCCTTTTTGAAATTAGTTCTTGTCATATATAGCCTGGAATGAATTCATAGCAGATCTCGCATATGCAGTACAAACTCTCTCTCTATGTGACCACCTCTTTATTCTGAATAGTGAGTGCTTATTTCTGGTTTCATGAGCAATAATAACTTACATTCAACTTTAAGACAATCAAAATTATTAGCATATTCTTCTTGTGTAGCTTTTTCAATAATATAACCTTTAAAAGGTCCATCTTGATATGGTGGATAACGAAAACCAGGTTGACAAAGACATTGATAACCACCACGTCGAAATCCAAAACCAAATAATGGTTCACAACGTGTTGTTGGTTTACATTTATTTGTTCCAGCAAATAAATTTAATTTTCTATTTATTTGATTAATTTCCGAACATTGATTTATATCCATCATAATAAAATCAATATTAGTTACAGCAACTGCTAAATTACGCATAGATTGAAAATGTCTATATGTTGTATGTCGTGGATAAATATCAACAATAGGTGAAACAGCACTAATTATCCATTTATTTGATCGACCACAATCAAAATATGGACGTGTCCAAAGAGTTGGACCTTTTAAAAAAAAATAACAAAAGTTTATTTTATTCATATGAATTAACTCACCTTGTGGATCTTCTGGATGTGGTGGCCCATAAAATTCAATAGTTTCTGTTACATCATAAAGTTTATACATTCTTTCAGCCAATAATAATTGAACTGTATGTACAGGTTTACCTATGAAATAAGAATAAAATTACTCTTTTTTTTCTGTAATTTATACCATAAAAAGATGTACAATAATACAGTGAATGAACAAATAAATACACCACAGTGAAGATCATATTCAATAAAGAAATCGATGAAAATGTGCAAGAATGAACGAGAGATACAGATTTTTTTTTATAGATAAAAATCAATAATTTTAAAATAATAGTCTTGTGATTCTCTCGTTTAATTGACTAAAAAAAAAAATTTTCTATAACACAAATCACCATTAGAAGTACAGAAATCAATCACCAAAATGTGAAAGAAATATACGAATAAATAAAAAATACAAAGGAATCTAATATATATATATATATATGAAGAGCACTATACGTTTTTTATTTGCATCATCAGTATCATTTTTTTTTTCATCATTTATTTCTCCTTGATTGTTTTCTTTTTTATCATCGTTGTTAATAGCCACAAAAGACGGCGACATTGTAACATTGTAAGGATGAACTTCTACAACAAATAAGTTAAATATATTTATTTTAAGTAATCACTTACCTTTTTCTTGATCATCTTGTATTGAATCTGGTAACCATTTATAATACCATTCATTAGCACGATTATATCGTGATGTATATTGATGATTACCACCTGCACCAATATCTTCTTGTTGAATCGTATGATTTGTCCATTCATTTTTCCAATTAAAGGCATCTAAAAATAGAATAATATTTTTTCAAAAAAAATAATTCTTTTTTTTTTTTTAACCATAGAAATCATCTGCTCGCCATGCATATGGACCAAATAATGGAATTGTTTTATTAAAAAAATTTTTATACCAATGTGGATAATATTTATCTTGATCAAAAAAAATTCCTGAACCATTTATCATACTACCACCAGCAGTTACATCAGCTATAGAATAAGAATAAAATATTTATTCATTTTATGTATGTTTATATTTACCAGCATTATGTAAAAGTATATATGTAAGACCGGGTTCTTCAAAATCGAATAAACGTTGAAATAAATAACTATATAAAAGAGCATTTCGATGAGCAATATTTCTTACATGTAATAATTGTGTACGATTTTTCATAATAATATCATTTCTAAGCAATTCAATAGATGGTTTTTGATAAACAGCTTCTTCAGGTAAAACAAGTTCATTTGGTTGTTTCTGAAAACAATTATCACGATTAACAGAATTTATTCTATCCATAATTTCATCTATTTTATCATACGTAATCCATTCAAATTGACAATAATTTTTATCAAATAATAATAATAATAAACATAGAAAAAACGATATACAAAGAGATCCATACATAGGAATCTAAAAAAATTAAAATAGATACTAAAGAATGAAAATAATTCTATCTACCAATGATTCCAGAATGTTTTTTTTTTCTTGAAGACAATGATTATTTGTAGAAATTTTCAAAAATTCTATTGACCAAAATCAATACATTCATACTGAACTTGAAAAGAATTGCATTCTAAAACAATGAACGCTTATCTTCACTGTCATGTCCACCACTTGATATTGTAACGAATACTGACATATATCATAAATCTGGAAAGACAAATAAATCTTAGAAGTTGATCATTAGAACGAACTTATTTCGTCAACGTCGCATAAACAATACAGCGAGAGATATTCGCATTAACAAGTAGCAAAAAAAAAAGAAGTACCTATGTTAATTTAAAAAATTTTTCTCTCCACAGAGCTTTAATCCATTGAGTGAACTAATGATTAGAAAGAAGAAGCACAAAATATTCATTCCGGATCGAAAAACGATGGATTCAATAACGTGTACTCACATGTAAATACGATATCGTATACTTTTTCTTTTAAATCTTATTACATAACGATATAAGTAAATCGATTATCAATGATCAGCGAGTCTCTCATTTCCCGCAAAAAAAAAATCTCCTCGAATTGCATCATTGTGTTTTCTCTTACTTACATTGAAGAGAAAAGAAAGATCGTTCAACGGTTATAAGGTCAAATGTCCCTCATCGTAAACTAGTAGTGGTCACTTTTGCAATTCTTTTAAAATGTTCAACTATCTTTCAAGTGTCACCAGACTAATCAATCAGTAATTAAAATAAATACGAAAAATAAAATACAAAAAAATATTTTACAATAATAAATAAAAATTAAAACTTCATTTTTTTATACTTTTTTTTTGTTCAATGTGCGATTGTAGCGTTAACATTTCGATTGGTCAAATTATTTAACCAATCTTGAAACTTATCAAGTCTCTTTCTTTGTATTCGATGATGATCTTCATCATCTAATTGATCGACTTACAAAAGATAAATCTAGTCATAATGTCAACTTGGCGCAAACGATTTTCGTAAGAATTTAATTTTCATTTCATTTAAATGAAATTTCTTTTTCTAGACGAAAATCACAACGACTTACTGAGAATGATGAAATTCTCTTTAATAACACTGCTAAATATCGTAGAAAATTACAATCAGCAATAACTCAAATAAGTCGAACAAAAAAATCTGTACAACGAAATTTTGATAGTCCTGCATCTGAAATTCATGGTATAAGAATACATATCTTCTTTTATTATTTATTTTTTCTATAAAATTTATTTAGTTGCTCGACTTATCAATGATATTGGTCAATTATCTGATTGTAAACCATTACAAGTATTTAAATTTCTAATTCCAAAAAAAACAATTTTTTAATTCTTTTTTGTAGGAAATTACTGGTTTAATTGATTCTTTAGCTATGCGACATCAATTATCATCACGAATATTTAATGGTAAAAAAAAAATTGTTTTCTGTTTTGAATAATATATATATGTCAATAGAATATGCTATGAATTCACTTCAACAATCATTACGAAAATTAAATGATAATTTATCAAATGATTATGATAAAACAAAATCTATATTTGAAGAAGCTATTACAAATCATTGTTCTGATCATACAAAAAATCAATTATTAACAAAAAGTTTGAAAACAACAAAAAAAATGTCAATTGCATTTTTGTTTTTTTTTTTAGTACAAACTGAATGGTCTAAACATCAAAAATTAGCAACGAAAGAACTTAAACAAGGTTTATCATCTTATTGCGATATTGGTTTATATAATCTTAAAGTACAAATAGCTATTCTGGAAAAACTTCAAGTAATCATCATTAAACGATTTTGCTGAGTACCGTATATGTGATTTTGTAGAGCAATTTGTCGCGCATCAAATTGTATATAAGAAATCAAATTTTTGATGTTGTGAAGGTTCATATTGAGAAATATATATTATACTCACATTCTAAGATAAACTTTAAACTCAATGCGATACAGTTATAAGTGCTCTTCAAATTTCTATAATCAATAGTTTTCATCATACTTAAAAATGATCCCTTTTCCTTAGGACTAGACAGTTTCTTACCTATTTTGATTTCTAGTGTATTCAACTTTGTAGTCTTTCGTAACAACAGAAACTCATTGTCAACTTGTAAGATTGTTTCCCTAAAATAGTCTATTTTCTCTCATGAAGGCGTCGGTTTCTTAACGATATCTTAACACGTACTTGATGATGCTATTAAAACTTTTTATGAATACAATATCCTTGAAAAACCGATATCAATCACCCCTTCATGAACGGGAAAAATTTTTTTTTTGACTTTCAGATTCCAGGAGAGGGTATAGGGTTGTAGGAAGTTGAATCAAAAAAATTTTTTTCGTGTTTATGAAGGAGTTAGTTATATCAGTTTATCAGAAATGTTGTGTCCATTGTTGGGTACATAAAAATTTTTAATAGGATGGTCAAGTAATGTTAATATATCGTCAGTATACCGGCGCCTTCATGAGAGAAAATAGACTATTGTAGGGAATAGTCTTGCAAATTGACAATGAACTACTGCTGCGTTGAAAAAGTACAGAGTTGAATAAACTAGAAATCAAATAGGTAAGAAAAGGGACCACTTGTAAGTATGATGAAAACTATTGATTATAGAAATTTGAAGAACACTTATAACTGTATCGAATTGAGTTTGAAGTTTATCTTAGGATATGAGTACCATATATATTTCTCAATATGAACCTTCAGAACATTAAAAGCGTGATTTTTTTATATACTATGCGATACACTTCAAATTGCTCTAGAAAACTACATATATAATATTATACTTTTTTTGTCGTTCTCTGAATATGATAGAATTTCGTTGATCAATTACCTCGTGATGATAATGATACAAATAATGGTTTACCAAATTTTGCTGCTAATAATATACAAACTCGACGGGAAATAGATACAATGTTACGTGTTATGCTTGATGCAGCACCTAATGATTCAGCTTCTTTACCTGGTATTAAACGACCAAAATTTTTAAACAATAATTTAATTCTTTCGAGTAAAAATTTTCGTTTTTTAATTTTATATTTTAATGATTTTTTTATAAAATTTTTAGATACACTCTATTCACCTGAAATATCTGAAGCAGCAGCTTGTTCGAATTTATCAACAATAGGACAAAGAAATACACCAATTATTCCACAATATCCTTCTATGATTGTTTCAACAACAGAAACAAATAGACAAATACCACAATATGACTCAGCAATGAACACACCTTTGGCAACACACAACGGTCGTTTTCAAAGTAATATTAATATTTAAAATTAACTATATTTTGAAAATTTTCAACATAATAGAAAATATAAATCTATTACTCTTATGAAGGATCTCAGTGTAGATAGATGAGAGGCTAAGAGAATTAAAATATCCTTACAGCTTTCAGAGGTACGCGTAAGCATAAAAGTAAAATGGGATCAATTTGATTTCTTATAAACCTTTGACACATTTATGCTAATATCAAAAGAATACTATTAAATTAAATTTCTGATTAATTCTTTTTGTTTTTAGTTACACCTACTGATGATTCATTACCTTCATATACTGATTTATTTGTTGTACCGGGTAATTGCAAAGAAGATTTTATACAGCGACGAAATACATATATAAAAAAATAATAAAAATAGAATTTTTTTTTGTATATATGCAAAATTCAATTTAGATCGTGCTTGTTCTTTCTTTTTTTTTTGGTTCTGTATAATGTGCAAAGACAAAAATCTTAATTTATATATGTATCATCAATTAGTTCTTGTTACTGTTTAATTAGCCAAATTTTTTTTCTTCGTCAGATCAGATGTAAATATTAAACTCGATCTTTGCTTACGATTAAAAAAGTTTCAAATAAATAAATAAATAAATAAATTCATATATGTGTTTTTTTCGCGCGTTGGAAGAATAGAAAATGAATAGTACAAATCGTTTATTAATACCATCGATATCTTATACATATTCAATGATAATTGGTTTTATATGTATTGGAATATGTTTTATTTGTTCATTATGTATAATAATAAGTCGAATAATTTATGAATATGAAAAACGTGAAAGAAAATTAACAAATCTTCATCGTTTTATGATTAATTTACCTGAAATTAATTTTAATGAATTACAAGAAAATATTTTTAAAGATAAAGATTTACCATTAAATTATGGACAAATGATGACTATGCTTGGTAAAAGTATTAAAGAAATGGATGAATTTAAAAAACAATTACAAGTATTACCAATAACAATAGCAGAAAAATTAGGAAATTTTACTAATACAGATAAAATTGAACATTTACAACGTGCACTTGTTGAAAATCAATTTCATTTTTAAATTTTATTTATAATAAATTGTTATAAAAACGAGAATATATATATATATATTTTTTTTTTCAGATAAATAAAAAAAAAAGAAACATCAAAGAATGTCAAATACTAAACATGTCGTTGGACGTTCTTTAATTAAAAAACGTTTTCCTAATCAACATCGTGCTACATCTGGAGATGAATGGGTAGAGAAAGAAATCAATAATAAATATATTCTATCAAATTTTCTATTTCAATAGGTACATCAAAAAGCTGATTTCACTGCAAGTACAGATTGGAATCGACTTAATCTACGATCAGTAACCGATCAAAATTCATTAGATGAATTTTTAACTACAGCTCAATTAGCTGGCACAGATTTTGCAGCAGGTTAATATTCTACTATTAATGAGTGTGTATATGTTTGATTTTGTTTTTTTTTTGTTTAAGAACGTTTAAATGTAACATTTGTACCGGCTGTAGCTAAAGTTGGAATTTTATCCAATGATGATAAAGAACGTATTCGACAAGTACAAGATTTACATCAAGATCGATTACGTATTCCACGAAGGTAAAAGGTTTTTTTTTTGTTGAAAATCTATGCGGATTTTCTTTTAATGATTTTGTATAGACCTCCATGGACACCGGATATGAGTGC